AAAATCTTGAAAATGGACGGTGTAGATATTATGTTGTAAAATGCACTATTTTTGAGATTTAAAATCTTTTTATTTTTCATGATCATACTTCTCGATGTCGAGATGATCAATCAAACGGTTTTTCAACATTAAAACTACTTTTTCCAATGGATTTTTGAGGTACATCCATAGTTTTACATTATAAGGTTGCATCCTTATATAAACTTTTTCCTTTTAAAAATGGATGCAAATGGTCCATCTAAAAACAAGTGTAACTAATGGTTCAAATGGTTTTTAATATAATTATTATTTCTATTTTTCTATTTTTTTTATTTTCATATTCATGATCTCAATATTAAAGATTATATATTTTCTAAATATTAGGATCAAATTATATTTAAAATAAATATTTATTGCCAAGCCCGCATTTCTACAATATGCGGGTTGGCCGCATAAAAACCATGTCCTTTAGTTTTTAGCACAATGTTTTGGCAAAGGTTTTGTGGTAAGGTATCTTTGAAAATGACGTCGTCTTTTATTTGTATTCTCTCTGTCCTTTTAGTTTTCTTTTTAAGAAATAGATTTATAGGGCTCCAGCTCTATCAAAATAAGTAAAGTCTCGCCTCATAACCCATGAAAAATTGCAATTTAATTGTTGAAAAATCCTTAAATCGATCATTTCAGTTGAACGTTATGGTCCTGCAAAAAATTAGGATTTTAAATTCTAAAAATAGTGTATATTGCAACAAATCATCTAAACCACCCATTTGGCCCAAAATAATAAGTGTTTTCATATCTGCAATATTTGTACCATTTCTTGAGTTTTGATGTTTATTATCGGTGTTGGAAATTAATTTTACAGCCATCATGAAGATTTCTGATGCCAAAAGTGCTTTCCGGATGAGGATTTGAGATGAGGCTTTATTTTGTTTTCATAAAACCTAGGCCTTATATAAATCAGATTCAAAATACACCAACTTTTTTCAAAAAAAAATTCCACGAGTTATGCTACACTAGCAAATTTCAGATAGAGAAATGTCTAGGAGATTTATCAAGATATCCACCAGAGATATTTAGGATTTTCCTCATTTGCAACTATTCTAACTCAATATCGTGTGTTTTTTATCAATATTTTAAAATTAAATAAAAAATGGCTAATATGTTAAATTTTGTGTTTTATATCATTATTTTAAAATTAAATAAAAAATAGTTAAAATGTTAAACTATTCATCTCCTGTGAGTAATTTGATAAATTGCTCATATGATAACTAAAAGCCATGGTTTTCAAAATTCTAGCTTTGGTTTACTGCCTCATTACCTGGAAAATTGGCTCGGTGTTACCTTGAAGTGAAACCAGAGTAATGGAGGGAAGAAAAGAACTGAGAGTGGATTATCAAAGAAAAAAGAAAAGAAAATATTTTATTGGAGACCTAATTATTAGAAACTCAGAATACTATAGAGAACTCTCTATTTTAATAAAAAATACACAATACCTCATATAAATATACAGCTAGTAACAGTTCTAGATAGACACCAACAGTTCTGGATTGACATCAACATTTATTGATAATTACTAACTAATCTTATCTTAATCCTAGACACCTAATCTTATCAAGAGATATATACCCGTACAAGAGATATATATACATTAACACTCCCCCTCAAACTCAAGACGTTTTTATACAAAGCAGCTGGAGTTTGAACAATAAGTTGCATAAACGAACGATTGGATCTTTAAGTCACAATAAGCTGCATAAACAAACGAGTTGAATATTTAAGTCTTCACGTGCATCGTGTGATCAAAAGAAGTAGTGATCTCTATGATCAGATTTCTTGAACAACAATCACATAATGACACTTAGAAAAGCCAACAGAAAACTCAGCGTGGATATGAGACAGATTCAGCAACTTGTATTCCAAAACAAAGGCCAGAACAGAAACAGAGATTGTTTTACAGAGAGTCGAAACATAACTCGGCAGATAATCGAAACACGACTTGGCAGAAAGTCAAAACAATACTCGGCAGAGAGTCGAAAGCGAATCTTAGGCCTTTGGCAGTGCTTCTTTGATCTATGAGTTTCTCTCACTAAACTAAGAGCGGTGCTTGATTCAACCATGGATGAAGATTAGAGATGAAGTTTTTATGCAAAGGAGAAAGAGATCGAAAAAGGAGACAAGGCCCTCAATTGGATTGGATTGAATTTGAACTGCATGCCATGGATGCAAAGGTAAGGAAATTCACAAGAAATTGAAGCCGAGTAATTTAGAGAGAGAGGATTGATGGGTTGTAAAGGGATCAAAAGATGGGATGCAACGTGAAGCCCATATTAATAACACGTAAGCGAATGAGAGAGAAAAAGAGAGAGAGAGGCATGTCTCTACCACACACAAGTACGCAGAGTGAGGATTCGAACCCATGAAACACATGAGAACTCTTTTATACCATATTAGAAACTTATAATACTGTAAAGAACTCTCTCTCTTTATTGATTAATAAAGAATATAGAAGACCTCATATAAATATGCGGCTAGCAACAGTTCTGGATAGACACCAACAATTCTAGATAGACATCAACAGTTATTGGTAATTACTAACTAATCTTATTATAATCCTAGACACATAATCTTATCAAGAGATATATACCCATACAAGAGATATATATACACTAACACTAATATCATGAACAAAATAATGTTCTAATTTTATGGGGCAAGAACATTAATTTGATGGCACCATTTTCCCTTCGCTATATCTAGGATCTTATTGATGAATTTTTGTTTGTTTGTATGATTATCATATCTTCTCAGTGGTTTTCGTTAAGTAATTTGGCCATTTTTCTTCTTTCTACTCTACTATTTAGTTATTCATTCTGTTCTCTAATTTTTTCAGCATGATCAAGATTCTCGAGCGGTATGAGAGATATTCCTATGCAGAGAGACGTGCTACTGGGGCTGATCATGAATCACAGGTAACACAAGAACTCTTAATTATGATTTAAAGTCATCATTGCATCTGGTACTTTTGAGTCCTATAAATATTTGAGGAAAATTTCGATTTTTTCTGTTAGTTCCATTTTTATGTGTATTGCTAATCAAATTCATATATTTCTCCTTAATTTATCTTTAACTTGACTCAAAACCAATGATTTTGTGCTGCACAATTTAACTATTAATTGCCCTGTAAGTTCCAGTTCTTCTGAAACATCCAAATTCAGAAGCTGGTATGTAGCCAATAAGGTTCTGGGGCCAATCACCAGAACAGAGCGCTAAGTGTAAAATGCTGCACCACCATAGACTATCTAGACAATTTTTGGGCTGACTGGAGTTGGTCTTTTAAGATGTATAGGAGAGTTATTTGCGTCACCAACTGGCTGCCATTTGTATATAAATTTCAAGTTCACATCCAGACATGGCGTGATATTGATTTGTCTTGAGCTAGGACTTATGTGGAGATTCTTGTATATTGAACTGAGAATGTGGAACTTAAAAGATGTTTAGATCGGCATTATTGATAGCAAACGTTGAATTTGACAGATCAACAACATCCAATTTATATCCCTGAGACTTGCTGGGAAGTCATCGCCAATGTCCATCAACTGGTGCAAGGATCATCTGCGTACCAAATATGTGTTGATGGCCAAAGTCCATATGAATCAGTTACCATGACTATATGATATGAATCCCTCCTATTAGTGTAACCTAAATTCAATTCTTATAAGCAAATTTATAACCATGAGATTACAAATTTGTTCTATGTGAAGCATATTTCTGGTGGATCCAAGAGAGGGGCCCATGGTGGGTGCCTATTTTCTAACTCTGATCTCATTTTTTGCTTTAGTAAATTGTTCTCCAAATAAAAATCTCCATAATATTAAATATTTATGTTAGTTGTGTTAATACTAGAAAACCTTTTGCCATACATTTATCTATTTAAATTCAGGAGAGTTGGAGCCTAGAATATGCCAAACTGAGGGCGAAGGTTGAGCTTCTACAGAAAAGTCAAAGGTAATGTGCTTTGGTTGTTTTCCACCATTCATTTCATGATTGATTTTTATGGAAATTAAAAGGTTATTTATTTTTTGTATCCAGACATTACATGGGGGAAGGCCTTGAGGTCCTAAATCTTAGGGAGCTCCAACAATTGGAGCAACAACTTGATGTTGCTTTGAAGCATGTTAGAGGAAGAAAGGTAGCCTGGATTTGACAAGAAAGAATAAAATACACGAGTTCAACAACAGCAAAAGAAATTTTAACTGAATGTATCCCTTTAGAAGTTCTATTCATCATTATGTGGTTTTGTTGTATATGTTCACTAGGCATTGTAACAAAAACTTCATATGCCCAAAACCCTTACAATATTGGTAGACAGACATGCTTAACAAATCAAGTGAACTGTTCATTGTTTAATCAACACTCTAAAATAGGGAAAAATTGTTTTGTGATTCTAATTTTAACATCATACCAATGAAAACTGACCATTGAGATCTTCATCTTCATTAATTCTTGTCTAGCATAAGTTTTTGTGGAGATATCCAATATAATCATCAGACATGATGTTGAAGTTTTAGTCTCATTGTAACTTCAAAGATGTTACTTATACATGCATATTATCTTTTTGGCAGACACAAATCATGTTGGATTCAATAGTTGAGCTTCGTAGAAAGGTAAGAATCTCGGAATACTTTTGCTCTACAAAGTTCATTAAAATTATTGTATACTATATTCTTGCTTAGATTTGTGAACTAAGATGTTGCATACCTATTTAAATTGACAGAAATAATGTATTGTATGTGCATTTCCTACCTCCTAATGAGGGATTTTAGGTTCCTCTTAGATATAATGTGCATCAAGGGACTCAGATCACCTACGACGATTTCGTTTTTAATGAAGTCAAAGATTACGATTTCTATCTCTCTATTACTTTTTTCTATATCAACGGCATTGTTGGGATGACAATTAATTCTATCACAAATATACTACTGTCTAGAATTACCATATTTTATATAATATTATTTTGTTAATTGTTTGGCAAGTATCATCGTATATGCAAGCCTATCGTATATGTGAGCCTAACTACATTGCATTGTATGTTGTCTCTATTGTTGTGCTCTGATACCACTTGTTGTGTATGGAAGCTCTAAACCCGACGAATTGATTTTTGACAAATAAAGTACGAGAAATAAAACATGAAATACACATCATAAGAACACAAAGATTTACGTGGTTTACCCAAGAGGGCTACATCCATGAGCATGGCAAACAGAAATCTAGTATACCAATGAAAGTTACATAAAATATTTTGGAACAAAGCTCCACAAAAACCCAAGTCGAGAAAACTCTTTTAAACCACTCTCTCTTCCTTCTCTTTACTTCTGATAATCATTGCCAACAATACCAGATAAAGACGCAAAAGCAACGAGAAACTTACTTTCTCTCTAATCTCTAACTAAAAGGGAAACAATCCAAAATCTCTATGGGAACCGCTTCTCTGCAAGAAACAAACAAGCATATCAATCTTTGAGAGTCTAAAAGAGGCACCATCACAATGTTTTTATCCAAATGAAGCTTTCTTCTATTTAAGAGGAAATTGCATCTTATGCACAAGAGGCTCTAGCTCTCTCTCTCTAAGAGGAAATTGCATCTTATGCACAGGAGGCTCTAGCTCCCTCTCTCTCTCTCCAGAGGTACCACCATTCCCACCATTCTCGTATGGTGACCTAAATAGGATACACATTCTCTCTAAAAATAGTACATTATATGGAGAAAAGAGACTTATCCCAATAACCAACTCCTAAATAGTATCTAATTGGTTAATAACAATCTCAATTAATAAGAAAATATCTCAATCCCATAGGATTTGCTTATGTTGGTGATTTTGGATAGCACCAAATCCAACATATGAGATCAATAGCTTGAAATCCCAACAATTGGATCAAAATTGCTGTGAAGTCAATTGGTTTTTAAACTCTATAGGAGATTTCAGTGGTCTAAAGTCCAGAAAACGAGATTTTCCAATGCATTTACCTTTAAAAATACCTATGGGGTCCAAAGAAGCAGTGTTTTTACTGTTTAGTCGATGACGGTTCTTGTTCCTCCACAGTGAGCCTCGGTTTTCTGGAAAACCTAATGATTAAAGGATCATAAAATAGGGGAGTTTCTAGTTTTAGTTAAGATAACCATTACTCTATGCAAAACCTGTGGTTTCTTATCTCTGGTTTTCATGGAGGGGGTTTCTTGTGCTGTAAACAGTATATGAGCTGAAGCTTTAAGAAGGGAAAGTAAGGATCAACAAGGGAATCGAGGATTTATTCTCATCTCAAACTTCTGGTACAAAAATTGTGGGAATGAATAACGGTTAGGGTTCAATGGCACTGGTGATTGGGCCTTCTATGTTATGCTCGATGATGATGATGATTCCTTTTGAATTCTCATAGTCCTCAGGCTTCTTAAACAGAAAACTTGCCCAATTAGCCCGGGAAGGAGCCCCTTCTCCTTTTGGTGTGCTCTGAGGAGCTATGCTCTGAGAATGGAGAATTGGCATTGTGCTTGATGAGGAGTCTGTAGTGCTTTGATACTAGCATGGAGCTACAACGCCTCCAGGCTTCTTGTTGAGCAACATTGCCAATTTGCTTGTGATGGAGCCTCTACTGAATGAGGACTGAGAAGGGGTCTGCTTGATGGGATTTGAGAAGAAGAAAGCTTAGGCTTTTCTCCGATAAGAAGGCATTGGAGCTTCAATCTTGAGGTTGATAAGGAGCTTGGGACTCTAGTCAATGAGACTATTGGAATCCTGGTCCACGAGCTTTATGAAGTCCTATTCGAGCTCCTCCATGAGGTGTGAGAAAAGAAAATTGGAGTTCTCCCCCCAAGTTTTGAGAAGAGGGCATTATGGAGTTCTGAATGGGGTATTGCAACTTCAATGATGATTGGCAAGATGGAAATGGGGGTATTGCAACTTCAATGATCATTACAACTTCAATGATGATTGGCACATGCCAAAAGAGAGCTTTATTTTGCCATGTTCCTGGAAATTTAGATCTCTGCTATTGAAAATAGAAGTACAATACTTTTTTTTTGGGGTAGTATCAGATCAGGAAAACTTTACAAAGATAATTTGCTTTTAGTACAAAGAGGTCACAATTATTTATAGCCATCAGATTTTAAATTGATTGGTTGTATGTCGTTGACTAGACTCAAAGTTCTAAAAACGAATTTTGAACTTCGCAACACATCCCAAGCCATCGAATTTGACTTCTAATGGCTTCGAGTGATTGTGACTTCCTTATAATAAAGATAAATGATCCCATAATATACAATTTCATCAAATTATATAGGAAATGACTTAAAAACTTACATAAATATCTTTTTAGGGAAACTATCAAACAACATATAGGTGATCCGGGGTATCTTGGGCATTTAAATGGATTCGTATCTTGATATAGTTTGCCTAGAAATCATTTTTGAAGTTAGGTCAAAAGTTTCAAGTATCTTTATGCCTACTATCTCTCAACCTTATCGTAGGTATAGAACAAGTTTATATAAGATTGACCCCTTAAAATATAAATTAAGGTGCGCCTTAAAAATCTTTGGAAAAGGCTTTTTTGATGTTGTAGAACATCTAATAAATCATCTCGACATCCAGATGTATGGATATGAAAAAAAGAAAGACTTCAAGTCTTAAAAATTATACATCTTACTGTACATTATCTGGAACGTATATTTTCATGTGTTCATAGATTTATTTGATTTAAACTATTTTCGGAGTTTAAATTTCATAATTAGAGATGAAAATAGATTCTTGTACCATCCTAAAAAATTTCAACACCAAATTACATCTTATAACAAAGTTTAGAAGTGGGCCTTACTTGAATTGTTTGAGGTTGCAAGTTTATGCAAACCACGCCCATGTTTTATGGTATTGGGAAGCTTGGTGATGTTAGGTGAAGGCTTGAGATATATGGCCAAGTAGGGATTGTTTATGTGGCCAGGTAGGGCTGCGGACTAGTTGCCCATGGAACTGCTCGAGGACCGAAATTACCCTCACCAAAAGGGTAAAAAATGTTATTTTCCAACCAACAAGGGAGAAATAGTGTTTGGGGGGAATTTTTGCTCCGCCAAAACCCTAGACAATTATTCCTTTGCCTCAAAAACTTTGTTTAAGAAAAGGGTCTGCCCAACGCCTAGGTGCCTCGAGAACCTAAGGGCGCACACCCGGGGCTAGACGGCCCTCCCTTGGCGCCAATACCTGGACACTCGCCCAAATGGCCTAGGCGAGCACCTAGGGTACTGGCCTCATTTTTTATTTATTTATTTATTTATTTTTAATTTTGTACTAAGCCCTTTCTTTTATAATAAAGTGCCCCCTAAAGACACTTTGGGTCGATTTTGACCCACAATTTTTTCACAAAAGGCTATTAGAGTATTCTAAACCTCTAAAATGAAATAAAATTGGAATCTAAGCTCCTAAATCTATTGATTTTGAGATCTTTGTGAATCTTAAAAAAAGTAATTGAGATTTCAAGAAACATCCATAAACTTACTCTTCATTGTTGGAATTTGGGCTATTAAGTTTATACTTCTTGTATTGGACATTTGGGTTATTCATCTCGTCTTGAGTATTCCATCCTCATGTATTGGATATTTGGGCTATTCATTTTGTATTATCTTTTGTGTTTCATCCTGTCTGGCTCTGATCGTGTTCATGTGTTAGTATAGAGTATGCCAGACTAAATTTTGATTGGATAGTTGAATGTTAATACACCATGGACTTGATCATATTTTTTACTTTTTTCACTAAATTTTCAATGATTTGAAATTTTGAGCATGTTTCAAGATTTATACATATATATTTGCATGGAAAAAGTTTGTTAGCTCAGAATCAAAAAAATTTAGGGATCGAAATTCGTATTAGAAGTTTTGGGTTTCTTGCTTAATCGAGAGGCATTTGACCCAAATTTATTTGGGATTAAAGAGGTTGCAAAAGAGATATTTTGGCGACTTAAAATGGCCAATTGAAGCCTATTTCAATTGGTTTTCGAAAGGTTAGTAAATTTAATTGTTTACGCTTAGGGTTTTATATTTTTTTGTGAGTATTGTGTTATGTTATACTTTTTATCATTTTTTTATTTTTATTTTTGAAGTTTGGTGTGACATTTATGATGAAACTTTACAAGTGTTTCTCTTTAGGGTTTGCTATTTTTGTGATTATGTTATATTTTCGGCTATATTAAGCTTTGTTTCTAATTCATGATGCAAATTTGAAATTCACTAGGCACCCGTCCTCGTACTCTTGAACATTGGGAAAACTTGACAATTGTTGAGGGACTTATATTCATTATTGAACATAACCAAGGATCCTGGATCAAGGAATTAGATATTTTGCATTTGAAGATGTAGTTAATCTTCTATAGCCACCTAGTTTTTAGGAGAAGTTAGCCTGTAAACTGATTGGAAAAATTGATAGGGCCATCTCTATGATTCCTTGTTAGCGACCCCTCTCTCTCTCTCCATTGGTTTTGGGTAATATCTTTTAAAAAAAAATAAAATTTTTCAAAATATGGTCGACTTTTATCAAGTTTTGAAAAATAAAGAAAAAAACCTCCATTGGTTTTGCGTAATATCTCATCAACTATCCAAAATATGGTCGACTTTTATCAATTTTCGAAAAAATATTTGTTTAGTTCATTTGTTAAGCAATTGTTTGATTCAAAATTCTTAAAACCAATGGCTTGTTGAGTATTTTTATTCATATGGATTTTTGCAGTACTCTGGAAGGGCAACAAATTATCAAAAGTAAGGGCAATGACCCTTCCATGAGTTATAGCTGATTTCGTAGGTTTTGCTCTTAAACTATTTATGTCATGATTGAATGGTGGTGTAGGAGAAGTCACTGCAGGAGCAAAATGATACTCTCCAGAAGAAGGTGTATACATGTCACGTCCTTTTCCATATATTTCTCTTCATTTCCTATATGTCATATATTTCTCTTCATTTGCTATATAGGTCGAAGTTAATCAAAACATGTCTCGATCGAGAATCATTCGGGCCAAACCAATTCTTGCTAAATATTGGTAACCAGCCGGTTCCCCAATGAAATGGCTAGTTCTTTGACAGAACCAGCCCATATTTTTTTCCAATTTTTTTAATGTTTTAATGACTGGTTCTCTGATCCAGATCGTTGATCCCCCAAACTAGATCGGAAATCCTGATCAGCGATCTATTTTTTAAAACCTTGCTATAAACTAAGTCCCCATTATTCGGGAAACATCAATTCTTTAGTAAAATGGTGGCTAAACAGTGACGTGATTCTTATTTTTTAAAACCGCCATGAAAATATTGTGAGGCTCAAAGCAGAACAAAATTTCTTGAATCATCATTCCATTTCTAGATATCTAGTTTCATTTACTTAGGAAAGTTAAATTTCTGCCGAAGCATAAACTTATTCCACATCAAAAGCAATTTTTTCCTAAAAGGGTTATAATGCTTATCAAAACCCTCAAAAATATATCCTGCAAAGGATGCAATAAAAAATTTCAAGTTCATGAACTTAAACTGATGCAGAAACATGAAAATATTTTCTCTATTTCTTTCATTTATCATGTATGTTTAACGTCATCCCCTTTTCTTTAGAAATTTTTCTCAAGAATTTTCTTGTGTGAAGTAAACTTTTGAAAGTCTTTCTGATTACCTATGGATTTAGGAAGTCTTTAGGTAGTTTCTCTTTGTCTTGGGTAGTTCAGTGATAGGAATCGAACTTGGAATATAATAATGCAATTGTCAACCGCTTCCAATGAAGTCCAAGGTTTAACTCTAATTATATGGTAATTGTCGTCTCATATATTTGATGTTTGATAAAACAGATAGTGGCAAAGGAGAAAGCCTTGGCTCAAGCCCAGGCCACTACACATTGGGAGCAAGAAGAGACTGCCCATTTCCTATCAACTTCTCACCCTCACCCTGCTCTGAATGTCAGGTAAGCCCCTCTGTTTGACCTTTTGTGTCCTCTGTTTCATACTGCTTTGGGCCAGCCAAAAATTACTGCAAAGTCTAATGTGGTCTATATGAATTTATACTACCAGCATAGAGTCATAAAAGCCATCACGGTCCAATCAATGGGTTGGATGGCGATGGCGAGAATGAGGGACTTGGGCATTAATGACAGATGCTGGCACCCTTGGAGTAAATGACAGACTTATGAATTAAATGACATGGTTGTTTGGATCCCGTCACCCCCACCATCAAAATTTTTTTTTTTTATGTGCTAACCATTATAACTATGTCCTTGTGATGACCATATTCATCTACTTTACTTTCATATAGATAAGTGGTTGCGTGTTTGATTCCTATGCCTACATGGAACAGGTTCGAATCAAGGGAGGACAGAGACGAAGAGGAACTTGTGGAGGATCACCATCATTCCCTTACTCAGCCAAGCAATGTAGTGCCCCCTTGGCTGTTTCACTAAAGGTTATATATATATATATATATATAAAATAAGACTTAACTCTATGGCTTTTGGAGCATCCTGACCACTGCCACCATCATACTCACCACCCATATCACAATAGCAATCATTTGCATGGGGTTTTGCTACACTCTGTAGCTCCTATGTATCGTCTGTATGGTGAAGATCATCAAATGGGGGAACATCTCTCTCTCTCTCTCTCATATTTCTTGTATCTTGGAAATGGGGTCTTGTGCAAAACAGCAGCCCTATATCTTATTAATATTATCAGTGAGGAAATTAGGAAAAAGACATGAAGCTTCTATTTTCCAAGTGGCATTCTGTTTTGTTCATGCTCATTGCATCATAGTATTGTTTGTGGTAGAACTGGTGCACCACACAAATGATTGAAAGTTTAAATCTTATTATGAATACCTCTTTACACATTGTAAAACATTTACCCCAAATGGCCTACAAGATTTGAATCTGTTGAGAAATCCCAGTGGCTTGCAAGATTTGAATCTATTGAAAACCCCCACTTGGAATACAAAGCTTGGGTCCTTTTAATAGTGGGCCAGCAAAAGAGAAAAATAAAGCACCTCCACATAGAATACAAGGCTTGTATTCCTTGAAAATTACAAAAAAAAAAACATAGCAACAATTAGGAATGGAACCTTGGATAGAAGAGCAAAAACATTCCTTTCTATGGGTAAACTGTCAATGCTTTGTGTGTCATGAATAGTAAGCTATTGTATACGAAACTTTAGAAAAAATTACCATTATGGTATAAGTTTGACGTTGTCATCGATACATACCAAAGTCGTATCAAAATTTGTCGAAGTGTTGATACGAGTTGACATGTGACGCCAAGGAAAATCTTGGGGTAACATTGCGTATACATATATGGGCTCCATATTGTACTGACACTAGTTCATATTGGTGTAAAAATGGGAGTCTGTTGCCGGCTTGGGAACTTGCCAACCTTAGTTAGCCTAAATTGTGCGTGAGTGTCACATACACGTGTCTATTTACATGGGTAAAAATCAAGAAGGTATCTTTAGGACCTTAAATTTTGGGAATGTAAGCTCTTCAACCTAACAAAGAAAAAAAAATCAAATAGCAAGGGGAAAAAGTCAAATCGCGCTATGTATGGGCTTGAGTAGGGCTGCCAATAGGCTGGGCCAGCCCTTGGCCCTAGCTCAGTCTCAGTCCCCATAGGATGGCCCGGACTTGGCCAAATAAAGTTAAAAAAATAAAAATAAAAATAAAAATAAAAAAGGAAAAACCAAGATTAAGTGGGCTGGGCTGAACTGGGCCAACCATGTTCCAGGTGTGGCTTGGCCTTACACTTGGGCTGTGGTTGCACTGGCCCTCGGGCCACATTTTTTGGCCCATGCCCTATTTTTTTAGGGTTGGGCTGACCAGGCTGGGCACCTGGCCCATTGCCACCCCTAGGCTTGAAAAAAATCATAATTTAAAGTTCAAAAATTGAAAGAGCCCATCTAATTTTCTGAAAATAATCGTCTCATAAATCTTAGGTGGATCCCAAAATTCATATCTGTAAAATCCGCCCAAGTAGTTATTTCTTTTGGAGGTAGCAAGTGTACGATAATGCTACAAACACATGAAAAAATATTCAAGAAAAAAAAGGTCACTCCTACTTGGGAATCGTTAAGTCAGATAACCCAGACAATACCCTAGCTTAGGATCGTTCAGAGTCAGGGGACCCTTGAGTCTATGTCGACTCAGGCGCGTGTGCACATATGGCTTTGTGAAATAAGTTGAACTTCTCCTTCAGTACTATTCCAATTGGAAAAGAGTATCCATGTTGTATCAGGCAATGGGTGCCATGTGTATGTCCGCCGACACTCAATGTATATAGTTCAAATTGGTGCTTAAGAAACAAGAATCGGGTCCGAACTTGGGCAAGATTGCTATAGAAACTAAATTGTAAAAACAAAAAAAATTTATGTAAAAATAAAAAAGATACCAAAATTTGACCAAGATTCTGTGTTGCCTAATTCATCTAAGTGAATCCCCTGGTCATGAATAACCAAGGTAATTCCGAAGCTAACTGTCTGAAATCAGGAACCCAGGGTCTAAGCCAATAGCGACTTGAGTCGACTCACCAATTTTTGGATCACTGATATTGGTGGATATTTGCCTATATAGACATGGAAAAAGTTTATATAATGTTGTAATTTTAAAATTTAAAATTACATATGCACCTCAAAAATCTATCGTAAATATTCTTTTAATGTTGAAAAACCATTTAATTGATCATCTCAACATCGAGATGTATGAATACAAAAACAAAAAACAAAACTTTTTCAGTACCAAAAATAGTACATTTTGCAACACATTATCTAAACCGTCTATTTTTAAGATTTTTATATGTTCATAGATCTATCTGATTTTAACTATTTTTGGGAGTTTAAAATTTTCTAATTAAATACGAAAATAGATTTTAAAATAATCCCAATATTTTTTTACCACAAAATTACATGTTATGATAAAATTTGGAGGTGCACCTTAGTTAGATTGTTTACGGCTGCAACCTTATAGAAACCACACCCTATAGATTAAAAAAAAAAAAAGGGAAAAAGAAGAAGAAGAACGAAAAGAAGATAAAAATGATCTTAAAACTTTAAACCTTTCAAATTGAACTTAAGCGAATTTATTGTTGCAAGTATTGTCACATAGAGACCGATGCTTGTCGGTATCCATAATGTCAGCCAAAAACACTGATAATATTAAACATATCCATACAATTAATGGTTACAAATAAAATTTTACGTTTCTTAAATATAAACATAGTATCCTTATGGTGGACAAAACGGTGAAAAGCTTATATTACATGAATGCATATACCATTGTAACAAAGTGTCTCAACATATCAATACTTGTTAAAGTATTGACACATATCAACATAGGACACCAAGCCTCAAGAAGAAGGTCGAGGTAGTACTAGTTGCAACTCATTGTAAAAGAGCATTTTATTTTGGGCAAGCTTTTTGTGCTTGTCCTACAACATAAAATTTATATGTTTCTCTTTATCCAATCATCCATTTTGAATGGACGGTTGAGATGGTCTCAATTATAATATCATATCTCTACACTATTTTACTTTAAATTTTTTTACGAATTATTTTGACATCAAATTTTGGGCATTCACTCCTCCCTTAAAGTCGCACTTTTGAAAAATATGAAAAAAAAATATTATCAATAAAATACAATGATCAAAATACTCTTGAAATTTTCAAGGGATATTTTGGTCATTATATTTTATCAAAAAATTATTTTTAATTATTTTTAATTGCATTCCATTGATATGATGACACATACCAAATTTTATATTCATATAATTTATAGAAAAAAATAAAACTAAAATACTATGAGGCATTACATCTAGATCAAACGGTAAATGAAAACATATATTTTGATCTAAATTGGATGGGTGGGAAAGCATATATCTTACATGCAGTAGGAGAAATATAAAACCCTTCACTTTTCTTTTTTATCAAGAAATATCGAAGTAAACGCTCAAGCAAAGGTCAACAATTAGCCGTGACATATTTTCACATTTTTAGCCCCACTTAATAAGTTTCAATAGTCATTTATTTATTGAGTTTCAATAGTTACCTTAATGACTTCCTTTGACGTTGGGGGAGACCCTTTACTCTTGAACTTCTCGGATGTAGATGAAACAATTAGGGTGGCCTTAGAGGGAGCTACTGTAGATTGTTTTAGAAAGGCCGCCTTGGCTAAGTGGATCTTGAAGTGCCTTTTAAACAAGGACACTTTCTATAAGTAGAAATGAATCTATTTTTGAGATGGATTTTTTGACTTAATTTTTTAGGGCATATAATCTTTAACATGAAGATCATGAATATATGAATAAATAAATAAATTTTAAAAATTACAAATAATAATTCTACGTTTTATTTTTATAGAAATTCAAAAATTTTATTAATAAGAAATTACAGAATCAAAGATAAGAGTCTCAAATAAAGGTACACCTCTTTTAACAAGAAAATCCGCCCAACCATTAGCCTCACGATAAACATGCAGAAAGGTGAGATGAAAAGGTCTAGACTCCCAAATTTGTAGCAAAACTAATCTAAACTCCCACGGTAATTTTTGTTCCCCTTTACACCACTTGATGACATTCAAGGAATCACCTTCCACAATACAACAAGGAATCACCTTCCACAATACAGCAAGATCCTAAATTCCATGCCACAAAAACAACGATTTTTGTTCCCCTTTACACCACTTGATGACATTCAAGGAATCACCTTCAAGAATACAGCAAAATCCTAAATTCCTTGCCACAAAAAGTTTTCAGCCATTAAGGAGAACCAGAAGTTCTACATTGTTTGCAGTTTTTTTTCAAAGAGGGCCTGCATAAGAGAAGACCACAAGTCCATTCCAATCCCTCACCACTCCTCCATAACCAGCTAAACTCGGGTTCCCTAACGAACTGCCATCAAAATTCAGTTTAAAGACCCCCCCCCTTAGACCTGCATTTAATAAAGCCCAATTTGAAAATATTCATTAAGTTTCTTCTAACATCCACTTCCATAATATCTTTCTCAATTTTTATAATTGAGCACGAAAGCATCTACTAATAAAACATTTGGACCTTTAGTTTCAATTGTTTTTAGATAGACCGCCTATTTGCAGTCCATCTTTATGGATGCTTTATACTTCGGGGACCGCAGATGGAGAAATACGGTCCCCGCCGCGTGAAACAATTTTCCTTTAAACAATTATAGACCAATGTTGCCCCCTAGTAAGAGAGACCCTCTACACTTGAAAGAGTTGACAATAGATTATTTGATAATTACTTTAAAGCGAGTGTCGATTACTTAAAGGGTTTTGTTAGTCTACACTACTTGACGGTGTATACCCTTAAAGTTTTCAACATTTTTTGACACTTTGATACCCTTATCCTGTAGTGTAGTAATCTTTTGTCTAGGGATGTTTTAAGTAATTAATGAAAGATAAAATAAAAATTTCTAATAGAAACAAAAGCATTTATTAACAATAACATCACTCTCAAGATGCATTAATTATTTTTTAATTACTAACAAAATGTCACTATTTGTTTTCTAGAAATATTCATTCTACCCTTCTAAATGACCAAAAATGCCCCTACTTAAAAAATTTCATATTACAATTCAATGGCATTTACGTGTCAAAAAATGTTGATGACTTTAAGGATATACACTACCAAATGGTATAGCCTAACAAAACCATTACTTAAAGCTGCCGTTTGTATAGAGCCTAGGCTCTAAACAATCAAATTAGAGCCTACCTTCAAATAGTATTGAGAAATACGGTTTTAATATTGAAAATCTTTGTTATAGCCTTAAAATATATTTTTATATTTATTTAAAGCTTAAAAAATAGTGTAGATTGATAGATCTATGAAAACTTGGAAATCTTGAAAATTGAGGGTTCAAAAATTCGTTAAAAAATACACTATTTCCAAAACTTGAAATCCATTTTTTTCTGATATCCATGCATCGTGATACTAAGATGATCAATTTGAAAATATTTAAACATCAAAACAACATCTTCTAGTGAAATTTTTGAGGTGGGCTCAAATTTGATTGTTTAGCTCTATATAAACTTTTCCCTTACTTAAAAAACACATTCCTTTGATAATTAAGTCAGACTAAAGAAGAAATCACATTGCTAACCTCCAAATTATTTTCCAATGACTTCTTCGTATGCATCAACTTGATATGATCCCCCAAAAATTTTCTTTTGGAGTCCAAGGGGAAAATTTCTAGGATTTCTAGTTAAGACATTGAGGAATTGAAATTGATCCTGTCAAAATAAAAGCAATCCGAGAAATGCCCCTTCCAAAGAACTTCAGGGAGTTAAGGTCACGGCAGCCACCCAAGCAATGGTCGAGCAAAACTCTTAAAAACATAAAAATATAAAAGGCAGAATACAGAAAAAATTGCATAAATCCATGAAAAATGTGTTTGTTTGATGATTTAGGGCTTGTTCCCGTGCATTCTATCACCGAGAATTTATTACTTTAGTAAAATTACATGTTGGCAACATCCATTATAAAGCTATCTGAAACAAATTTATTGACAGTTTCACATATAAATTTATCTTTCATTCTTTTATAAAGTTGTTTTGCTTTACTCAAAATAGTTGGCTGAATAACACATGTTTTTATCTAGAGAAAGCTAGAAATGGCTGAAAATAGCAACAAAAAAATTAATAACTAAATAGTATTATATACAATATAAGTAACATACTAAACAGCTAGCAAAATAATATTACACAGGATACATTAATTTCATATTAGACTATTTCAATTAAAATTAATTATCTTCCAACACAAGCCTTAGAGTTTACATCATCAAAAGATATGAGGAATTCTGTAGGCTAAAGAGATTAGGGCCGATTCCTGATTCTGCAAGAAAATCAGCCGATCACCCACCCAATCTGATCCGAATCAGTGATTCCTAATCCGAATCAATTGAGACCCTGGTTGACCATCTATCAATTTTCCAAACCTAGTTGGCAAAACCCTAGTTGACCATTTACCAATTTTCCAACTCTAGTTGAGCCCTTTACCAAAGCCCAGATTTGAGCTCTCTCTCTCTCTCTCTCTCTCTCTCTCCAAATGATTTCTCCTCAATCCATTCGTGAAGCAAAGTTCATGTAATAGTTGATTTATAATAGTTGATTTATGTTTAAAGTTGTTATACATGACAAGATTAAAAGACTATTATCAGACCTGCAATGTGCAGATACAGTGTAGACCAATGTATAAATTATTCAACTTCGTGGACTCTTTCTTTGAGTTCCAGAGTTTCTTAGGCCTCTTTGTTAGCTGCTACTACTTTTTTTTCTTCGTCACAGTCACAGCTGCTAACAGTAAGCCACTGTTCCCTGCAAGTGAGCACTTCAATAATTAAAAATCTCATAAGTGTAATACAGTGGTACAATACGTTATCCAGTAAAGAGCTCTCTAGTGGCCCCCATAAAAGATACATGAGCCATTTCTAAGAAAGACAACCAATCGACAATCATCACAAGACTTACCAACTCTTCCATTATCCACACGAAAAGCATGTGGGATGAGATCTAAAAGTTGGTATATCAAGACAAAAAGTAATAGGAAAAAGCTTATATAGAGCCTAGGCTCTAAACAATCAAATTAAAGCCCACCACAAAAATTTCATTAGAAGAGGTGGTTTTGATGCACAAATATCCTCAAATTGATCATCTCGACATTAACAAGTATGGACATGAGAAAAAAAATGGATTTCAAGTTTTGGAAACACTGTATCTTGTAATGCATTTTGGACCGTCAATTTTCAAGTTTTCATATATCTGGTTGATCTGCACTATTTTGTAAGCTTTAAATTTTATAATTAGAGATGAAAACATGTTTAAGACTATCACAAAGATTTTCAACATTGAAACCACATTTCTCGACATTATTTGAAGGTGAGCTTTACTTTGATTGTTTAGAGCCTCGGCTCTATACAAACTGCACCCAAAATAATAATAATTATCATTTCTTGAGTCTTTAGAATACCATAAGCTAACATAGCTACACTAAACGACCAAGTTGTTCAAAAGGTAGGAATCAAGACAGAAGCAAACATAAATGGATAAATATGTTACTAGATTTATAATATATGTTGATAGATTTAACATTACAAATAGTGCAGAATGAATGAAACACTACCTCAATCTCTTGCAAAGTCGGGCTAAAGCATCCGAATCATTTCGAGAAGCAACATCCTCAATCTCAGTTGCATTTGACAAATTGACACTATCTGCAAGCCTGAATTCGCACAATTCTTTAAGTGTATAAGCATCAGTAAGCACCGCTGAGTGGCCCCCACCAGCTGCCAGCTTCCTTGCAACTCCAACACACCTGCCCCAAGGCAAACCATGTTAACGATCATATTAAGACTTAAAGATTACACTTAGCTATCGATCACAAAAAGCCATATAATTTTTATAAAAAAAATTATACCATGGAATTATATAAATGCTTCTAGAGTATTTTTTGAGAAACAAGATTTACTCGAAAGATCAATGCTCCAAGAACATACCAAATTTTTGTTGCCATGAAGATTTTTCCAAACTCTAAATGCCAAGGCCAAACTTGGACAGGCAGATATGTCTTATCCAACCTCCATATTTTAAAAGAAAATACTACTAATTTAGGGAAGACAAAAAAATCAATTTCAGAAAGTTGGTGGATATTTGTGGAAATTTAAAACAAACTTTAGCCTGTTTCCGCAAGATATAAATATCAGCATATGGATGACAGAATTCAAAGCTTCAGACTCCTAGAAATGACATGAAATTAGAACTAACAAATTTTTTGATCAATAAAAGACAGAAAATTATAGATCCATCAACAAGGAACAAAATCATAAGCCTAGCTTACCAATCAACAGGTGATGGGTACCAAGCATATGTACACTTCTTGTTAGCCGCCTGTCCATAGCTATTATAACCCCATCCATGGATCCTTCCATCCTTAGTGGACACAAGTGTATGGGAGTGCCCACAAGTAACAAGTTCCACACTATTTGGTATAACCAAGACAGGGATATTACGTAAAAATATCTCTGCCTCGGCAGAAGAGTTGCAAGAAAAGAACCCATTTTGTGGGCCCAATCCTAATTGCCCTGCTTGACCACCACCCCAAGCATACAAAGCCCCCTTGACAGTTATAGCACATGTGTGGACCCCACCACAAGAAACATCCTTTACAACCATCCCTTCAAGAGCAACCACTCTTCGAGGCAAAAGCTCCTTGTCTCCATATTGGAGAGAGCAGTGCCCAAGTTGACCCATGCTTCCTAATCCCCAAGTATATCTACAAAATATGAAGCCAGCCAAGATAATCAAGATAGAGACACCAGAAACACTTAATAAGATCACAGAATATATGAAAGGTAAATAGGGAAGAGAACATAACTTCAAAGCCAATGTCCTAGGAAAGAAAAACCACTTGCTAGTCATGACCAATGAGTGAAAACTCGCTAAGTCGGGCTTGAACTTGCCCCAGTTGCTTGGCCCTAGCCCATTGAGAGAACCTCAGAAACTGATCTCAGGTCAGGTCACACCAGTTCCCAGGTTCCTGCATTAATTTTTCATAGACTACACAGAGCAAAGCCCAACTGGCAGAATCAGGCTTGGGCACTGTGCAATTCAAAGCCCGAGTCAGAGTTTTCAATCATTGGTCTGATTAATAGCTCACCACCAGTTTTTGTCATTAGTACCCAAGTGGGTATAACCAATTTGGCGACTCAGTTTTGACTCAAAATTAGATTAGACAATCTTATAACATTGAGAACAAAAGTAAAAATCTTAATATTTTCTTCATTTCCAAATACTAAGAATGGTAATATATGAAAAACCAAAGTTACAACTGATAATAATAGAACCACTACATATAAAAAAATTGAAAATTTGGGCTTTACCCGACATCCTACCGGCATGAAGCTCATAAATATCAAACTTAAAAGATTTCTACTCGGAACTTCAGAATTTGCAATTACAAGCCAAAAACAACAACGATGGTTCTCTTTCATCTATGAAGATGGTACAAATGATTATTAACATCTAATTGTCCTATCAATGATAAAGGCGTAATAATGATAACAAAATTTTCCAGCAGTTGGATTTTACATAGGGTTTCAAGGGAGAAACATTAATGTGGTTAAGGAGCAAAAAATAAAAACACAATAGTACAATACAATTCGAACTACTAAATCTAGTTGTACTATCAATAACTATCATACACAATAATTGGCAGACCAACAAAACAATTAAAACAAAGTTATCGACAAATCCAAGATGCTCACTCCATCTAATCAAAATCTATCTCCAATCCTTCTTTTTTTTCAAAAAATTTTTGAAAATCTATCTTCAATCACTTAAAACAAACTTCCTTCAGCAATGTGCTTGCAATTAGAGAATGAATAACAACTTCCAACAAACCCTCATAAAAGTATTGATCAAAGTGAAAATTTATCAGAAAGCACATCCCCTGTTACCAATGTATATACCTCAGTGTGCCTGAAGGCACCAACGCCTTCCATCTAGACAATTCTCAGACAACAAATTACGTACAAGTAACCACCTCAAGGTGCCTCGACCAAGACCAGCCTGAGCCAGCCAAGTATGCATGAAAGCTTCCATATAAAGACAGCAAGAATGCACACATAGATATACAGATCCCTAATGTCACAGCAACTAATGCTGAACAGAATATTCCTGGTGTTTAACTCTTATTCTTTTTGCTATTATACGATTGCATTCGTGTTTAACTCTTATTCTTTTTGCTATTATACGATTGCATTCGTGTTTAACTGTTATTCTTTTTGCTATTATACGATTGCATTCGTGATATCCAATATCCAATTTTCAAGAAGCCACATCATCACTAAGTAAAATATAATATCCCATGATCCTATTGGAAGTTTAGTCATCTAGAAGTATTATGACAGGCTTCAAAGTCTTTTCCCAGGTCCAATCAAGCCAAGGGGACAGAAGTAGCAAAGAGAATGTCTATCTTCCTCACAAATCCTAAGTTTGAAATTGTTTAGTAGTCAAAAGAGTAAAAAGTGACCTTCATGGTTTTTTTGATCGTCAAGAGGGATATAAAGGTGAAGATCTGAAAGATCTCATTCAAGGCCACACAAGTAGCTGGCCAATACGGTGAGTACTAAATATCAAATGTCACAGCTTCTCAGTTAACCAAGAAAAAGAAGCTTTCAATGAACAATAGAAGGAATAGATATCACCAGAGCACCAAAAAAGTGGAAAGAAGAAACTACAAATAGGAACCTAAGAAGAAGAGAAACATGGTGCTAAAGGGCTCTCATTTCCTTCTGAGCCTATGCCTTCCTTCTATATGGAGCTATTCTCTGAAAATCTTTTCAGCCATTTGAAACACTAAACACTTCTTACTTGCAAATTCACAAATATTATCCACTGGTCATCACCATTTTGGTCTACTTTTTGTTTAATTTTTTATGCTATCCTTTTGGTTTACTTACACCTCGCCATTATCAGATATAGCTGCAGTATGATATTCCCCACATGATACATGGGTAATCTTCACAAGTTCAGGGGCTTCATCAAGGAACTTGCAGAAACCTCTTATAACTTGAGCCCCTTGTAGTCCTTCACAAGTAATACCTCTGCCAAGCTGACCACACTCATTGTAGCCTGCTTTACAAGAAATGGAACACCAATAAGAAAGGACCAATAAAGTATTTATTATTTATTAAGTTTTTTATTTGAATAGCTTATGTAAAAGATAGAACAACGAACAACTTAGATATCCAGTACCATAGTCACAAACAAGAAAAAGGAAAAATGAGAAAATACGCCATGCCAAGGAATATAATCAGAGAACTGAAAGATAGTAATGAAAATTTCATTCACGATAAACGTTTGATAATAGCCACATAATCAATGAACATAAACAGGCATTACCCCATGCCTGTAGCAAACCGTCTTCTGAGAGAACAACAACATGAACTGCTCCACAAGAAACTTGGCGTATAACCTGAAAACCAATATGCACCACCACTTCACCATTATCATTAGGCTCACTTGGTAACATATGAGGAGAAAGCATTCTATAATACATAAGTTAGTGGAAAATCTTTGGTCATGAGTGTCATCACAATCCACTCAATGAATGAATGGTGATAATGGAAAGAGAGTCAATGCCTACCCCTATGCTTGTGAAATATTCTAGTGGGTCGCACTCTCTATCCTCAAAGTCAAACCATCCCTCTATTGAGAATGGCCTGGGGCCTTGGCAGTTGTATTGCCGAGCCCTATGAAAAGGTTTCTCACTCCATTCTCACCAAAGGGTAGGGGTCCCCACTGACTTACCACTTTAGGAAAAGAGCATGCGCATAATTGGTTAGCGCTTGACGATTTGCAACGCTACATCCTAGGTTTAATTCCTACCAAGGGTAGGGGTCCTCTCTCCACTGACTCACCCAAAAAAAACCATCCCTCTATTGGTTGGATAGAGACAACATTTGTGATATTAAAGTTTCTATGGTTTATGGTCATAAAGTTTCCATGGTCACAAGGAACATATTATGATTTACCACAAATGAGAGGATGGAAAGATAGTTCCACGGATCTTCATGATACTGGATACCATAATAGCAAAGTATCAGCAACTGCAAAACCAAGCGACCATGGTATATTTATTCACAGTCAACCGGGGTCATGACCATCCAATCAAATGGATAGCGCTGTAGAGCCAATGGGACCTACCAAAACAAAGTGTGAACCCAATTATTGGACAGTTTCTCTTCATCACCATTGATCATCTCATTAGATGGTGATGAGTCCAATGAACTGTGAATATGCAATAATCCATTAGATCATGAGTACATTACGATGGACAATGGGGAACATGGCCCACAAACTGGTTCTATTCCATGTGTGGCACAATATACATTCATTAAACATTTTCGTAGCAATTTAAATGTACGTAATTAAAGAACCACACCAACCAAATTCTGGAAATATTGACATTCTTATTCTAGAAAACATAACAGTAATTTTGATCTTTGCATCAACCATGAAACTAATATGCACATAGGGCACAATATTCAAAAGTTCAGCCACCCAGCCACCTAGGCGGCCACTTAGGTGGCCAGAAAGCCAAAACAACAAGTTGCCCCTTAGGCGGGATTCCTAGGCATCATGTCTAGTCAGTGCCTTGTGCAGGCAGGCCAAGGGCGGAGAAGGGCCCTCAACCAGGGGTACTTTGGGCATTGCCCACCTAACAAGGGCGAAAAAAGGTTTTGGGGAGCATTCTAATCTTCAAAACCCTTTCGTATATTTAAAGAGAGAAAAACTCTCCAAAAAACTTAGATTTTGAGATTTTTCTCTAAATTGAAAAAAATTCATCATTTTCAATTTCTTGCAAAATCAAAAAATATACTTCTTAATTCTTTTTGGATTTTGGAGTAGTCGCATAAAGACTTTTGGCAACAGAAGATCACCGGTTATGTCCGATATCGGCTTCATTTGAAAAGGCTAGTGCATTACAATATTTAAATTAGGGTTTGGTATTTTTTTGTATAATGTGTTATAATTTGATATTCCTTTTCTTTCGTTTTTCTTTTATTGTTAAAAACTTGAAATATTTTGAGAATATTACCCTGTTTGGCCCATATCAAATTCGTTTTAAAAAGCTTAGTGCTTTACAATATTTGAATTAGGGTTAGATAATTCTTCTGATATCTAGGGCCGATAATCTAGGAGAATGGAAAGATTGAGGAAGAAATTACACATAGAATTAGAGCTAGATGAGCAAAAAAGAGATGTGCATCCAAAGTTTTATATGACCACTATATAACATTGAGACTAAAGGGGAAGTTCCATAGGATAGCTGTAAGACCATGCATGATTTATGGGATAGAATGTTGGGTAGTCAAGAAACAACATATCCATAGGATGAGCATAGTTGAGATGAGGATGTTGAGATGGATGAGTGTCAAGACAAGAAAGGATAGAATTCAAAATGAATACACACGAGGGAACTTAGATGTAGCTTGAATAGACAATAAGATGAGGGAAAATAGACTTAGTTGGCCTGGTCATGTGTAGTGTAAATGTAATACAACACCGGTAAGGAGGTGCAATTGGGTCAAGTGGAAGGCTCTAAAAGGACAAAAGAAAAGCCGAAAAGGATATGGATAGAAGTAGTGAAATGAGAATGGTGACTTTTGGTCTTACTGAGGGTATGGCCCTTGAAAGAGAAAAATGGGGAAACAAGATTCATGTAGCCGACCACAGATGATTAGGATAAGGCTTGGATGATGATGATGAGGGTTTGATATTATTATCTTTTTGTATAATGTGTTATGATTCGATATTCTTTTCTTTTCTTTTTTCTTTTTTGATAATTTTACATTTTTGTAGTCGGAATATTTTGTGAATATTTATCGGTTTGGGCTGATAGTTTGTGAATAGTTTGAAACTTAAAATTAAATTGATATTTTTTGAGTACTTAGATTGCAAAACCAAATCTTAGGGATATTATGTTGTGTGATATTACGTGATTAATATTTTATGATTGATATCATATCATGTGATTTTTGTTAGATTGGAAAACCAAATATTATGTGTGTCGATAATTATTCTTTTTTTTTTTATTTACAGGGGTTTTGGGGACCAAAAACTGCCCTAAGAACTCCTTGGGAGCCTAGCTTGTCCTTTCTTGGGCACCCACCTAGGCAGGCGCCTAGCGGCCAGGCCCAAACCGCCCAGGCGGGCACATCCAACTTTTGAACATTGGGCTGCATAAATCAGTTGATGCTCACGATTGTGTCAATAATGCAATTAGTAGCATAGATAGTGCTCTGCTAATTTGTTGGCTCTCCATTGAAGAAATAGTTTTCCTTTTTGAAAGGTTTACTAGCTTATGGATTGTTGCCAGAGTCTCTCTTAAGGTAGCTGTGATACCATCATTACCATATGGGGTTGGCCATAGGCATACATTTTCACAACTTTTTATCAACTTTATCAAAAGAATTATTATTAGCAATTGAATAGACAGTTTAGGCAGACATTAAGATTAAACGTTTACTTTCAATATGACGAAATAGTGTGATTAAAGATTTCATCACATATAGGCTATAGATTTAAATTCCAAATATTTTAAAAATTAATTCAAGTTATTTCAAAGGATTAAACAAGCAAAGAAAGGGTTCGAAAAGTGAACAGCATCTCAATCCCAAAATAAAGCACCATACCTCTATTTTCTAGGAAGCCTTGCTTTCTATGGAGAATTTTTCTTAACAAAATAAAAATAACACAAACAAAAATTATTTGACTAATGTCCCTAACAGTTTGCCTAGAAGAAAAGGTAAAAGATTAAAAAATATTGGTCAATTCACAAAAAAAAAAAGATAAAATTCGCTGTCCCATTATATGGTACAAATGCAGATGATAACAACCAAATTCATCATAGAGAGGCAAAAACACAAGCCATTCTCAGGTTCATGGAAACTATACCATTTTTGTTTGTCCTTTTTTAAAATTATTGCAATCATTTTCTTGTTTTTTACCTTTTTTTTGGTTGTAACATCTGATGAAAAGCTAAGATGCACATAAATTTACCGTGTTTGGAGAGAAAGCACCCCAATATAAGCGTGGAGAATTTGACCCCTGCAATAATCAGAAACAATAAAAACCTTCTTAAATTGAATTATTTTTATGAATCTGCATCCATGAAATTCAGATTTACAAGAAGAAGGTAAAAGATATCTGATCTAATCATCATAAAGAAAAAGAAGAAGAAAAAGAAAACCTGATTTTGGCCCCAAACCCAAAGCCTACAAGATGATAGGGTCCCATCATTTTCACGAGGTTCAGCAATGGCCGCTGTGCAGTGAGCTCCACATGATATTGACTTCACAAATTCATACTGTAATTGTTTCACTTTCTTCGGATGTTTCCTGCTTTCTTCAGTTCCATCTCCCAATTGACCAAAATCATTGGAACCTTTAATAAATGATGCACTCAAACAAGAGATCAATCAGATTTTGCAATCATTTGAGTTCCAACAAAATTTAGTTGAGATCTTACAATCATTTGAGTTCCAACAAAATTTACTTGAGAGAGAGAGCAAGAGTAATCCTAACCACACTCAACCGTAATTCACCATTTTAACAGGCAAGTACCCCACAAACAAGAGAGAGAGAGAGAGAGAGAGAGAGGAGGGGAGGGAGGGAGGAGAGAGAGAGAGAGAGAGAGAGAGAGAA